TAACTAATTGAATATTTATATATTTTACTTTTAAAATCCTTTTTTGTAATCATAAATGTTATGTCTAAATAAATAAATAAGAAACAATTGTTGGCAACTAAACATTTTAATTTAATAAACAATTATAATAAATAATTCTTTATGTTTGACAAAACCGCATTCTTTATCAACATGGCGCAATGTATATATTTAGCCATAACTAGAAAGCCCATAAAGACCCCCAGTAAAGCTCCTCGAAAAATGACGCAAACGATTCTTTGATGTCACAGCGACCTGCACACACACCCTCACCCTCACCCTCACCCACATCCCACATCCCACTCAAACAAAGAGACACTTGTGGGGTTCCACTGTACCAATACCTCTGCGAATCGAGGTTTATTGTGTGTAGTGGCTGCTTATCAAACGATCGATGATAAATGTGGGACTGCAGGTTTCTCTGTCAGCACATATATAATTTCAAGTTCGCGTACCTTGCTGCACTTTGGCTGTACATATTAATGGCATTTAGATGAGCTTTTTATTATATTCGTATATATATAATGGGATGTTTTATAACGCGTAATTTAATTAGTACGTGAGGCGCAGTTGTTCGCATTCCATGTGTCTCTTCTTAGGCAAATCCGCTGGGCACGACGCATATTTTTTATCACTTTGTTTATCATTATCAGTACTAGGTCCAGCTGCCGCATATAGAATATTGGGTCAACGCCGCCTGTGGCCCCAATCTCTAGTAAACAATCAATCAATCTATTATTCGATTTACGCGCCCTTCTGGCGGATTACATCAGGCGCTCCACTGGCGACTCGGAAGTGACTAGACTCAACGCAATCATCGTGACTTAAAACATAGCTAAAGTCGCAATGAAATAATCTAGCCCTTAGCAATTTTATAAATGAACTGATGATAATGGGATTTAAAAGCAAACACCCAATTTTAAACTAATATAGACAGTTTATATTTATTTTTTTTATGTTAAAAAACAAAGGTCTAACAGAAGTCTTTAAAAATTGAAAGCATTGAAAACGGATGCCTCGAAGTTAAAAATCAAATCAAAATAAAAATTAACGTGAAACTTCTTTTAAGTACTGTTTATTAAAATAAATTGATAAGGCAAGTACCTTTAAAGAACAATAATAAAAATGCTTTGGATATATTAGGTTATTGTTTGTAATAAGAAACAATTGTAATTTTCTCTTAGCTTATAAATTTATTATACTTTTGTCTGATTAGTTCTGCATATAAAAACCTAATGCAGATTTATAGTGTTCTTTTTATTCTCACTACCCTCATGTATCCTTATTTAGCCAATCCCACAGTTCTTCATAATCTAAGTTATTTTTGACCCCATTGTGGAAGAAAGTTCCCTAGCCATCCTGCATAAATATAGAGCTCAAAGTGCCTCTATTAAAGCGCCGCAATGGTGTTTGAACGTCGCCAATTAAAAGGAAGATTTATGGGCAAATATAAATCGACCGCCCGCCACCCCTTGCAGAAACCCCCTCTTTTTTTGCCCCCGCTGGGCTTAAAATAGTTCTGACCGCAGTTGGTTACTGTTACCGTTACTGTTACTGACTTTCCCCTACTTTCAATGCAGAGAAAAAAGGAGAAGACTCTCTCTCTCTCTACGCTCATTCAGATTTTGTTTACAAACAAATTTGTTTGACCTGCGCAGTCGAGGGCATTTTCCATTTTCCCCAATGATTACCTAGCAACCTTCACAGGCCCTATCGAATGTTTTGCTTATGCTCCCCGCTGCAATTATGTGTATATATATATTACGTGGTATATATACATATATATAGAAAGTAACGACTTCCGCATTTAGGGAAATGTAGGCCCAGCGAAACTTTTTCGCAGCCTCTCGTTCCGCAGCATTTTTGGGGGTCACCTTAGCTATTTTTAGGGGTTTGAGAGGGTGGCCCGTGCCTAGTTTAGAGAGCTTTAGCCCCCACAAAACATACATGGGTACACGGGTTAAGCTGCAAATCGATGAAAAAGGCCCATAGCTGCAAATCAACGCCAGTGGAAAACGAACACGTCAGCTACCCCAAAAAGCAGCGGTAAGGGATTTGGGAGGAACTGCGCAGTGTGCAGTAACTGGTAGGCCCAGTACTACGTACTACCACCTGGAAGCGCCACCCCGTAGTCCCCACCCTTCCAAAATTCCTCCCCTATATATGCCTCGCTGCAGCTGCATTTATTTCAGAATTATGACATAATTTTTGACATTTTGATGCGCAGTCAAGAACCTCAGAAGGCAAAAAAAACTTACATAACTCGTCATTACACTATACAACTTGAACTTGACTCTGGTCTTTGTTTTTGTCTTTGTTGTTGTCATTGTCGTTCGCTTTGTTTTTTTTTCCTTTCTTGGCTTAACTGCAAACAGGTTTTTCCCACACCGAATTTCACTTTCTTCGCTGCCATAAATCAGGACCTGCCAGGAGCCCAATACAGTAACCCAAAACCGAGACAAGAGCATATCAAGTGTTCTCGGTTTTTGTGTTTTTGTTTGGATATCTTTCGGGTAGACACATGCGTAATTACAGTTACGGCATGTCGGGTGACTAACTTTCTAATTATAGACGGGTATAATCGGACCCGGATAGAGGGTCCGTCCGCAATGCGTGCCATTTAGGGATTAGCCATTAGCCATCTGCCTTCTTGGCTACCTGGTAGCTGGGTTTTCTGTATCTGGGTTTTGCTTTCCGTACCCAGACAAACTGCAGCGTCAGTTGGCAGAGGCGACAAACACTATTCCGTTCTAATTAAACCCGCTAATGCCGTCTAACGATGACTTAATTGCCTTCATTCCCTACTCAGATCGGCTTGGTCGAGTGAAAAAGCGTCTAAAAGGTGGTCAGCGCCTTAAAAGGCCAAGACTAGTTCAAAAATAGCTTACAAAGGAATTGACACTGATACAGGGAGAAAAAAAATCATTAAAATGGGTCGATGATATCTTGTTTTCATATAAAACAAAAGCACACAAAGAAAAAATAGAGGAAAACATGAGTCTACAAATTAGTCCATACATTTTTAATTTTGTTCCATATCATATAAGTTGTTTTAAAATTATATCTGAAGGGAAGTAGCAATTTATTTTTATAAATTAATAATTTTTAAAATTTATTTTGCTTTATTAATATTTTGCGCTTCCTTAATATTTTCTATTGAGATAATATACTTTTAATCTTTATGTTTTGTTTCTAATAATTGTAGTTCTTATTCATTTTGTAACGTTAGATACTTTGTCTCCTATTGAATTTATTTTAAAATTATTTTAACACCCTAAATTTGTGCTGTGTGCAAATGTTGGACTTTCTGTGACTACGGTTACCCTTTTGGCCAATTAAGGCGGCCAGATTCGTTGGCCGCGATCGGGCCAGCCAACTGACTATATCTGGCAGATACACACTCGTATTTTGAGGAGCTGCAGCATCATCAGCTGTTCGCTGTTTATGTTGTTGTCTGTGGCTGTTGTTTTTCAATTTTTCTTTCGTTACCACAGCCAGACACACAGACAAACAACTGGCCAGACTTGATTTATCATCCGGGACCATTCTGCCCCTCCGTTTTTCGACCTGGACCCTCCGTTTCGATCCAGCACCTTCGGTTCCCCGGTTCCTCAATTCCTCGGTTCCTCAGCTCGAATAATGGACAATGGACAATGGCAAACTGCAAGACCTGTTCTGCACATTTGCCGCATGATTCACTTTGGGTTTTCGGGCCTGCATTTGTGGCTGTTGGAGTTGCCTAGCCGAAGGTTTCTCTCCCAAAATGCCCCCTATTTTCGTTTGTCTTTGAAAGAGTCTTAAAAACACATCAGCGCAAATGCATTATTTTTCTTTTTGTTGGCAGGCAGCCAGCTATATTTTTTGGCCATTGAAGTGCTCAGCTGTAGTTGAGGAAATTATAGCAAGGCTAATTAAGATGTTAATCAGCGAAACATTCATTGCACTTGCCATCGCCAGATGACACTCCATGAACACATTGTCATAAAGTTTGCACAAAATAAAACTCGATCGTGGGGCACAGTGCAGCAGCTAAATGAGCCTAAACACGCAGAGAAAGTTCGCTAAACTGTGATACAATATTGACTTTTATCTAAATCTTATTTGTTACAAAGGGTTAAATAAATGGATCTATTAAAACTTGTGGCGAGAAAAGATATATTTGTTTTCTGTATTATTAAATGAATTTAAATTAATATATATGGTAAAAATGAAGAATAATGTTTTATTAATTTTTGTAACTCAAGTACAACAAAATTAAGTTTAAAATATTTAAAAAAAAATATATTTTTTAAGACTATGTCATCTTGTCTAATTACGATCTATCCCTTTTTAAATCTTTAATAGATATTTTAAAAACCTAAGCCCTTAAGATTTCATAATAGTGTTTACTATATCAAGAAAATGCATTGCAAATGCATTCTGCCAATTCGATTTTATCCATTAAAAAGATAAACATTTGAGTGAAAAATCCCTATTTTTTCGCAGTGTCCTCAGCTGGCAAATGCCAGAGATCTGAGATGTGGCACGGCTGTGATAACGATCGCTACAAATGCTGAAAACGTGATGCAAGTCAAATTTATGGCTATTAGATGCCCAGAATGGAAATCCCCTAACAAGAAACTCGGCCGATTTGCAGCCCGAATACAAAAACGAATACGATATATTGGTGGGGGGAAAAACTGTGTGGAGCAGGAAAACTCGGCCTGGCCGAAACCGAGGAAAACTCACACAGTCGCAAAAGTGTGAACTCTTTGGATGCAAAGGTGCAATCAGAACGTTTTTGTTCCTGCCTTTTTGTTGTGTGCATTTTTTTTTTGTGTATGTATCGCTTGGCTGCACTTGAGATGTGTGTACATGTAAATCGACTTGCAGCTAAACTTTGAGAAACATATCCGAGAATGTGTACACATTGTGAGTGAGGGTCCTTTCCTTAAAGGACTTCCGCCTAAGTTTTTTTTTTTGGGGGTTAAAACTGCACTTACTTGCTGCCCGGAGTTTATTGATCGATCGATGATGGATACGGAATCACCTCTCCTCTGATTTCTATTCTCTGCAATGTTTTTCACCAGCAAGGCTTTTCACACAATTTTCGAAATGTTTTTAATTGTGATTATTGTTTTTTATTGTGCTGATGACTTCCGTTTTTTTTTTTTTGAGAACTGAGAGGGGGTGAGAAGTGCGGAAAGCAGCGCTACAGGAACTCCGTGACGTATGCTAGCAACGACGACGACTGACGAGCGAATGATGGCAGAAGGTTTACAAACTGGCCAACAAAGCTGGTTGTCAGTGTCTGTGTCTCTGTTTTCAAGATGGTATTGGTTGCGGCACTGCTGTATTGGTGGCTCTACAGCTGAGCCCGACACACTTACCCTGTTTCTGCTTCTCCGTCGAGGTTTCCGCTGCTGCGCATGTGCAAGAGAGGTTTTTCTAGATACCCTATCCAAAGTACCCCACAGATGACCACGCCATAGGTAGTGCTGCAAACAAAAAAAAATAAATACCAGTTAACATATGACGTGCTTATAAAATCTCTGGAATCTTAAATGACAAATATATACCTTCTACAACATGTAACTTTAGCCAATTTTATTTACTCATCCAATAAAATAGATAAAATAAATAAATAATAATTTACTCTTAGCGGTTCTTTCAAAATCTCGAGACATTTAAATCATCAAAAGTTATCTAAAACAAGTATCTTTTGCCAATCATAATTGTTACTCGAAATTTCTGACTAACAATGTTTTGTAGTTGCATTTACAAAAAGTAAACAAAGGGTATTCCATATTCCTATTGAAGAAACCACCACTTCATTTTATATTTTTTCGTAATTTGCAAGCCTCTCATTTCCTCTCTTTAGCAGCTGATTTTGTTTGTATACAAAAATCATATTGCATTCTGTGAGATGGGGAGAGAGTACATGGGTAAATAAATAAAGAGGGGGATAAATAAAAATGGGTAGAGGGGGGAAACATAAAGAAAACCACAAAAGCTTTGTTTAAATTCTTAATAAAATACATTTTTTAAGATACAAAACTCATAAAAGCATTAATTTTAGATTTTCTTTAAAACTACTTTTTTTTAAGAGATCGTAAACGTTAAGATTCGATAATTTGATGAAAAGGCAAAACATTAAAACACTAATGCAATAAAAAATAATAATATAAAAATCAAGTAAATATTGGTAAAGCTGACTAGCTGACTAGCTAAACTAAACCTTATAATTTTAGGAACAAGGCCAGCAAAAAAAAAAAAAATTTATTTAACTTAAAAATAGTTTAAAATTTATATGATTCAAAACTCACTTATATAGGCACTTTTTAAATATTTAAAAAATCACGTAATTTTGAGCAGTGCTTTTAAAACTAAATACTAAAACAGTATATAAGAGTCCAAAATGTTCGTGGTACAAAATACTAAAAACAAATTCCAAGAGCTGGTATTATTTAGACGTACGGGCACTCTCAATCAACCGCCTTTAGAACGCACGTGTTTACGTTTTTAGCAAATTGAACGCAATTTCTTGAGATTTTCGTACTTTTCGTGTATATATAAACAAAATGGGGCGAAATAATCGTTCGCGAAAGCGCCGCGATGAAATGAATAAAATAAAGAAGGCGCGCTATGAAGCTAAGGAGTTGATTCGCCTGAAGAAAACTCTGGGACTTCTGGATGCCGATGGAAATGAGATCATGAAGGATATCAGCGATGTGGTCGAAATTAAGACCTCCAAGGAGCTCAAGAGGGTGAGTTTTGTAAAGTTTTAGATGGTATCTGTGTACCTGTATTTAGTGCTACACCTGGGTACTTATTTTCTTCCTACCTGTGTATATATGTATGGTTTGAGCTGTATAACTTACTTTACCAATAATCCCCCTTACTGTTCAATCTAGATCCTTACTAAAACCCCTATTTTAAATCATTTTTCAGGAGGCCAAATCCAAGGAGGAGCAGGAACTGATTTACGAGCACCAGGAGAGTCTGGAGAAGGGTGAAAAGGTCAAGGTTACCAACGAAAACACAGGCGTGGAGCACGTTTTCAACAGCAAGACTCTCAAGGATCAGTACGGCAATTATCCTGCGTGGTTCAAGAAGAAGAAGACCGCCAAGCGCCTAAGGAAGAAGCAGCACTCCCAGAAGAAGAACTTCAAACAGGCCTGGACCACAGTTAATGTACCTCTTTAAAACCGGGTGACAGGATTGCCCAACTGGTATCTTAACATAGCTTTTAAGTCCTCGCTTAGTTTAGGTGATTTTGTAGGCCTTTTCTACAAAAATGTTATAGCTAAGAGTTTATATATTCAAATTAAAGACTTCACAAGTTTTAACTAACCAAAATACTTTCCATTTCAAAGCGAAGCAATCAGCCATTCATGTAGTTGTTAAAGCTACGAGTTATTATTGCATATTAAAGCCTTAAAATCTACACACAGTTGTGGTGTCATGTGAACATCAAAATATCCAACGCTTAAACTAGAAACATAATGGAAATGTTGCCCTTGCACATGGATAATCACAAAATGGGGGATATTGAACTAAAATCGGTGTAAAATCTCTCTACTGAACGGAACAATAGCTGCGCACACTGCAGATCACACCGCTGGTGGCTGCCTCCAAACGTCGCGTATTCGCCGACCAGATGTGCGTAGTGGCCAGAGCCGTGGATGCGGATCGAGGGCCGCCTTCTCCGGCAGGTCATTCCGGCTTCTCTTTGAGCTCCAGTCGTTCGGTCGACTCGCTATCCGGCTCCGCCTGCTCCTCCTCGATATTGCCGTGCATTACATTGGGATTGGCCTTGAGCACAGAGCCACCGGTGAAGCCCAGGATGCCACAGCCCACGGCAGCCAATCCTCCAGCTTTCATGCCCGCTACCAGGCCAATGGGTCCACCCACACAGGTTCCGAGGAGAGCTCCCATAACAGGGTACATGGCCTTCTTGTAGGTGAGCGCTCGGCGAAGATTCAATTCGCCTTGCTGAACATTTTCCAGAGCTTCCTCTGCATTGTCTGCGATCTTCTCCACTGCCACCGATTGCTCGGCAGTCAGCTGCCGCATGCCATGGAACATGCCGTGCAGATCGTAGATCTCCCTTTGCAGGTTTTCCATCTGATCCAGACAGGCCTGTCGCTGGGCCAACTGGTGCTCCTCGGGCTGGAAATTGAGCTGCAGCTGTGGCATGTGTCGGTGGGCAGGTAAACTGCTCATCTCCACCTCCTGCGCTGGCACATCCTGGTCCTCGTCGTACTGGGAATTTAAAGTGGAGGTAGGTGACTTCAGTTGGAGTTCTGCAAAAGCGAAAATTTTGAGAAACACCTGTGTATTTTGGGGGCGACACCCTAACTAACCTGCAAATTCCTTCATGCCAGCAAAGGCTTCATCTTTGCCAGGACGCATGAGGTCATCGAAGCGTTCCAGATCCTCCTCCCGCACTTTTTCGCGCAGTGCATCCATTTCCAGGAGCAGATTCTTGATCTGTTTGATAACCCGCATGGCATTGAGTTCCTCTTTTTTGATTTTTTGCCAGTCGCCAAGGGCCAGACTCTTTTCAATATTGCTGCGATGGTTTTTCAAAAGGCTCAGATGGTGTGGTATCTAAAGGGGGGTTACATAGTTAAACTCTAGAACTTTATAGAAGTATAGAGTATACGATTTACCGCCGTATCCAGAAACCTTTGTATGGAGATCTCCGCCTGTTTGAGAGGCAGTTTCTCATCGCCGCGTGTCATCGTGAACTGAATACTTTGAACTCGCTGCACTTCGATTTGTAATCAGTTTATAATTGTGGTAAAAGTGAAATCTGGGGGATCAGTTTCTTTGAAACCCCCGCCCCTTTTTCCATCGACCTTGCCTAAACAGATTTCCCTTGTTTATTTTCTGCGCAGTTTTCTTTTTGTTTTGCCAGTGACGTCACTGCATACTTCTGGGATTTTCCAGAAGATTCGTAATGTTCAATTGTTATTGGTGTCGCAGAGTTGACATGGTTTCAATTATGCTGGTGGTGTCCCCTTCAATTAATACTGATAATAATTCTATTGTGCTGCAATATTTTTGTTTGCTTGTGGGTTGTTGTTTAGGAGTGTGACCAGAGTTGATAATGGTATTAATCCTTAATATGCCTCTGTAGTATGTACGCCAGATGGTGCGAAACTTCGATAAATCTTTCACGTTAATGTAAAATTACAGTCATGGTCGAAATATTAGTAATGGAATAAGAATTATTGGTATATGTTACATATTTTTGAAACCGTTTCAATTGACGGTTGACTTTAAATGTTAAAATTAGCAATTGGCCAAATGATCCTCTTAAAGTTCGTCACCCACTTTCTTTTGAATATGCATCACAATTGTTGATTTTATGTTTGTCTTGAATAACCTCGGCGACCTAAAATTTGCAAATGTAAACCAGGAAGTTTATATTTTTATTAAATTTCCAGTAAACGCGCAACAAAAGTTACCGATTCAAATCAGAAAATGCATTTATTTGTGCAGTGATTTCTCATATACATTAAAATTATATACAGATACATGCAGAAACTTATCGGTGCACCACCCACATATAATAGGGTGGTGCATAGTGCGGTGGTGCGCTTACGGCTAAAACTTCAGATCTTCAGATCTCGATACATTTATGACACGTTCGCTTAAGTACTAACAGCCTGATCCTGATCCGAGGGCTGATCCTAGAGACTACAGAGGCACTCGACTCGCATTCGGGAATGGCTTACAAGCAGGAGCCGCTACACGTGAACAGAGTGGTCAATTAGGTTAACTAACATTTAATAATAGCGTATAGGGAAATGCAGTTCTGGTTTTAGGGGCAGTTGGCATTGGGGCCGTTCCGGCACTTCATCAGCAGGTTTAGCATCCCCTCAAGCTTGTTGGTCCGCGACTCCGTCCTGTAGAGATTCGTCTGAAGTCGACTGACGTCCTGAGCCTGCTTTTCCTGCAAGTAAATAATAAATAAATTAATACCAACTGCAAATACGATCTCTAAATATTTGAGTTTATGTAATTTTAAAAATAAATAAATCAGCTTAAGATAAACGTTATTATAGGAACGTGAAAAATATACAGTATTGTTTAAGATTTGTAAAATCAAAATTTTAATTCAAAATAATATGAACCATAGGAAATCCTCGATCTAATCCAGTTTTGAAACATAACATAACACAACATAACAACATAAATGTTAAGAAAGTAATAAAGTTTATTTTTGTAAATACTCAAACCGATAATAATCCTTACCAGCGTGCTCAGTCGACTTTTAAGTGTGTCTACCACACTGTAGGTGGCCTGGAGCGACTTTTGCAGCTCGTTGGTGTGCACCCGCTCGTTGGCCAGTGACTTTTCGATCTTCTGCAGCCGCGTCACCACCTCCGCATCCGTGTCGTCAATGTCGTTCTCCAGATCCCGCGCCTCGAAGGCGTCGTCCGCATTCGTGGACACCTTCTTGCAGCTCTGCTGATCCGCCTGCAGGACGAATCCTTGGCGGCAGCGACAGAAGTAGGAGCCCTGTGTATTGACGCACTGCTGATCGCAGGGCTTTTCCGTCTGACACTCGTTCACGTCCTGCTCACAGTGACGTCCTGTGTAGCCCGAAGGACAACTACAGGTGCTTGGAGCCGTACAATTTCCGCCGTTCTGGCATCGGGTGGAGCAAACAGCTATATAGCAAAGTAAGAATTTGATTAGGGATTAGAAAAACAAAACAATATATATATTGACATATATGCCAAAAAGTCTTTGAAGCTTTTAATTATCAAATATTTAAACATATTGTTGTTAAGGAAAAATTAGTGTCTTTTGTTCAAGAAAAAATTAATAATGGATAAAAATATTTATAATTAGCTATAAGGTATTTGATTCAAAATTAATATTTAATTAACATTTATATATTATATACCTTTTTCTCTCTTATTTTACTAAACATATCAGGTTTCTTTAAAGGAATACAATTTTTTACATAACTTTTTCATACGAAAATAATTCAAATAAAGGCATTATAATCAAAAAATGAGTTAAGTATGTATACTATATTATTGTATTTTAAGCATATTTAACTTGAAAACTCGTACTAGCAATGCTCTACCAAAATTGTCTTTTATCTAGTGACAGCGTCATTAAACTAGGTATAATAATTAATTATAAGTCAAGGCCAAATTTTAGTATCAAGCGAAATGAATATTTTGAGTACTCACGTTTCATGCACGCATCCGCCCTTGGGTTTTCCCGGCTCCAGCCCGTGCAGCAGTCGTAGCTCATCTGCTGGGCGGTCTTGTGGTCGATGACGTCCCTGTAGGCCTGCTCGTGGACCACTTGCACCCGGGTGCACATCTGGCCATTGTAGGTGGGCGGCTGGCAGGGCATGGCCACGTGCTTCCAGGTGGGACGGGAGTAGACCTCCGTTCGTTTCACGGGCATCGTCACCGTTCGCTGTTGCATGCAAATGTGCCGCCTGAAAACGAGTACAAGGAAAACCAGAGCGAGGTGTGAAATATTGGAATGGATTGAATTGAATTGGATTGGATGACCCAAATCAGCAGCTCATCATCTGCAAAAGTGAAACTGACTTTTCCAGACGACGGCGGCCAATTACTGTCATAACGACAGAGCCTCGGCCAACAGGTTGTATTTGGGAGTGGGATCTGGGCAATTGTCACACAAGTGTCGGGAAAGTGCCAGCGGACTGGAACGCAGTGTCTCGTATCTGCGATGACAAACACGACATGCTCCCAACCGATGACTTGCAGCCATGTCAGCCATGTCATTTGTTTGCATTTGGAGGAGCTGGCTAAAAACTGGCAACCACGCAACCAGGCAACCTGGCAACCAATTGCTCCAGTTCACGATTGGCAAAAATAGAAATATTCAAAACATGTAGTTTTCATATGCTAAATATTTATTTGAAATAACAAATATTTTGTTGGAGATCAGCTGTATTATTACAATTTTTTAGGAACACTGAAAGTGTGTTGAAAGTTAAAAAAAAAAAAAACATTTTTAATGCTTAAAACCTAGCTTTTTCAACACCTACTTTGGGCTTTTCAATGCTACTACACACCCAACTACCCACTACACTTGGTTCCTTGCCTCATACATATGTATATGCCCCAGTGCTTCTCAAACCCAACCCAAATCCAAAGTACCAATGCTCTTAAGACCTTTGGCCCCAAGCAGACAAACATAAAAAGCGCTGATAATAAGCAGTTTTTGATTTTGGTTGCCAAAAAAAAAAGGCAAACTGGCCCAAAAGCGAGGTGCATCCATAAATTGGCAGGCCTGAGAGGCTGCGAATAAACGCTGGTGTTTGGTGTTGCTGCTGTTGCAGTTGTTGCTGCAGTTACTGTTGCTGCTGCAGTTGCTGTTGCTGTTGCTGCTGTTGTTGCTGGTTGCTGATGGTGTCGTAATTGGCAATGCGGGCCAAAAACAATTGCGAACGCGTGACGTGGCCACTGAGTGACGACTGACTACTGCGATCGCTTGGCTTTTTTGCTGGCCAAAATTCGCGATTTAAAAGCGGAAAGTGGCACACAGTTGGCCACAATGGTCCTGCGACCGGGACATTTACCAATTTCTTTATTGCCGCGCATGCATATTTATGCGCTGGTTCTTTTCCTGTCTGCTGTAAGCTGTAACTGGCTTCTCTTGTACCATAATTCTCACGTTATTTATGCGCCAGCATTCTCAGCGTTAAGGGCGCCAAACAAACGGCAACGGAATCAGCTAAAGATACTGCCTCAATCGAAAATACAATAACAAGAACGGCCAACAAAATGCGGAAGTCTTCGCTGGAAAAGAAGAAACTGTGCCAACAAAGTGCAACATGAAATGCTCATTCCCATTTCCATCTCCAATCCGCTGGCTGCATAAATCTCCGAGCGGGTTCAATACACAAAAAACAAACAGAAAATTAAACAATCCGATCGATTCTTAACTTTAACAGAACACAATAGCATCCCATTTTTGTTGATTGGTTTTATAAAACCCTAAATTAGTTATGAAAATTCCAATACTGTATTTTAATTACTTTTTAACTTATTTTTTAACTGATTAAGAACGTTTGAAGAATTTTTATTAATAAAAGCCTTTTCTGAAAAATAATATTTTTATTTAATAATTAATTTCAAACTTAGTTCAGACCTATTTTCAAAATTACTCGACAAGCTCTCAGAAGTATAGAAATTAAGATTAAATTCGTATAGTATACTACATATCATGACAAGTCTTAAAAAAAGTCATTAATTTTTGTTTAATTGATATCTTTAATTGCTTAAATCTAAAAAACTATGTAAAAAACCCTTTTAATAAAAACCTCACATTTTACTACATGAAATGCACCACTTTTTTCTGTGTGCACATGCAGACGATGCACCCCTGACTCCTGCCGATCCGCCACGCCCCCTCACCCACCGACGCTTTGTATATATCCCGCTGCGCCAGACAGCGCCAGACAAAGTGTAATCACATGCGCGTGTGTTTGTGAATGGCTTCATTGCTTTGTTTAGAAACGTTTAGGCTAAAATTAAATTTGAATTTTTAATTGCTGAAAGCCCGAACACCTGTGGCTAGACCTTAGCGTTCTCTTTCGGCTTCAGAAGAAGTAAAATCTCAGTTAAGTCCAAGGGTTTCGCCTCCGACAGGCCTATAAAATTATAAAAACATCAATCAAAATTGCTTTTTTCGGAGACAGACGAAGAGCAGCAGCCACCAGAAATAAAATGCAAGCGGGCCAATTAATCAAAAAAAATGAAAACTGTTAAATTTTACAAGAAACACAACCAGCGATATATATTGGTCAGTTCAGGAGGATACCCAAAAGATGCACTTAAAGAAAGACGGAGAAAAATGACGGGAGGTGGGGATCCGAAACACGGGCCAAAGTTTCTTATGCGCTTTATTGATTTACGATTTATTTTCATTGAGCGCCAAGCAGAAATTAATGAGCCATCGATGGCTGCAGGCCAAGAGGTGACCCCGAGCGGGTGTGTGGGCTTAATGGAGTGTGTAGATGGGCCCTCGGCTAATAAATGGATAGTGCTCGGGATTCATAAAAATCTCGGCACTGTGCCCTCATGAAGATGAGTCATTTTCCATGTCTCCACAAAACTAAATGGCAGAGGATTATATAGTTAACGAAAAGAAAACACTTCCTTGATATTTTATACGCCAGACCCTTCGTTTCTTTTTTTAATAAAATGAATTTAAACGTTTATCCTTGACTTAGGCCCTGTAAATTGATAAATATTAATTCCCTTCACTAAAGTTTACTTTTTAATTAAAATGCAACTTTCGCACTTCTCATTGTGTTCGAAATAAGCAAAACCTTGGGAACTTTATTAAGTTTTTGTGATGGAAATTAAAATTGTAAACTGGAAGTTTCCTTTGTGTACAACTCTTTTATGACTGAACAAATTAGGCAGATAAAATGGGTTTTAGCCAAAATGAAACCCCAGTTAGATGGCCCGGCATTATAAAGAGTCTTTGAATAAAGTTAAACCCGATTTAAATCATTTTTATTGGGCTCTTTCGAGATTGGGCCATTTCGGAAACCAGTTTGCATTTTGTCAATCTTAACAACTGCAACGTGAATGCATTTAAAAAACAGTTAAGGCGAATAGTAAAAAACCTAAGCCACAAAAACTTGGCGACACTTAACGGCAGTAAACAGCTTATGGTAAATATGCCGGAGAAAAGTGCAAGTCTCTGCCTCTGTGTATCTAGTTTCCAAATGAAAATGTGAAATAAATTTATAAAAACATAAAAATATTGTTGCCACAGTCGTAAAATGAATTTTTACGGCCGCGTCTGCAAAAGGAGGAGTGAAAATGTTTTTTTGGGCCGGGCCAAGACCAAAGCCAAAGCCAAAAGGCTGGCCCCCAACTTGGCCGAAAAGGCGGCTCAAGTGCGGGCTGCTTTGGCCAACTGTTTGGGCCATTTGTGGTCCGCCAACTGGGCAGCTAATCTGATTTGCTACATGGAATTAGAATTTAAATTGGCCCGGCCAGCGAATGCACATTTCCAGAACAGAACGAGCTGCACTGCATCATTAGGCGAGTTGGATGCACTCACCCACTGCTCCATTCTGCATTTTTTCAAACTGGAAGAAAACTTTTCAATTTTATGCTTGCTCAAGAAAATAATTTGAAAATGTAGAAAACAATTATATTATAAAACTTCACCTTTAAATTTCACCAAACTTTCTTTTTAGTCAGACGATTCATGAAATAAATCATTTTTGTTATACAAAAATATGGAAAATGGTTTTTGACTTAAAATCTTTAAAAAAGTTATTAAAAAAATACAAAGCTAAACTTTATTTTACTACTGACTCTCTCTGCATTTTGTTAAACTGAACAAAAAACTATTCAAATTTATTTGTAGTTAAAGAAATATAAGTTGAAAAAAGAGATATACTAAAAATACAAAACCTTTCAGTAACTCTTATTTAAAAAAGTTTTTTTTCGTGTAACTTGTAACACGACCACGACGACAACAACGACAAGAGGAACTGAACAGAAAAGAACAGGAACAGAGGAACAACCACGACAACGACAGCCATGAAGAAAGAAGCTACAGGAGAAGCAGCTGCCAGGGGAGGCGAACATTTTTAGACGTGCTTCCTGGTCCAGCTGGCCCAGCTTTATTTGGATTCTTACTTAGCGTAAAATGCAACGCCCATGTGACCACGGCTCCCAGGAAAGGAAGATGCCACAAAGTCGTCGACGACGCACTGCCTCGCCGTTTCTAATAATATTTCAGTCATGTCCACGGCTGGCAAGTGCAACTAAAGTCAGCAGCCAGCAGCCAGCAGAAAATGCAGCCAATGCAGCAGCTCTACCGCTTTCGGTTTTGTTCTTTTCTAGTTTTTTGCACAGAGAATTATTACAGCACTCAGCGGCGGCTGAAGTGGAAATCCAATATGCGACTGGACAAATACCCAGGCCGCAGGAGGGGATTCCCTGCCATTCTCAGCCAGACAATTCCCCATGGGAAGCGGGCCCATCACGGCCGCTACTTCCTCATCCAAAAATGGGCAAACACTGCTGGAATTTCTTCATTGCTTTGAAGTACTTGTCAGCAACAAATCAGATTGGACTTTTCTAGATCGGGATAATATATGGCCATCATTTGTTGGCTACCATGTGTTGGCTTACGCCAACGAAACTTCTTTGCTTTCCGTATTTTAAGGTTTAGTGTCTGCAGATGCTGCATTCAAATATTTTCAGTCATAGGCATGGCTTGCGAATAATCGCCATTACATTTTATTATTCACCTATTCGCTAAAACAATTTTAATGTTATCCTTTCAAAAAAAAAAAATATTTAAAAATTCATTCATACAATTTGAAAGATAAGAACTATATAAAAATAATAATAATAATATATAAATTGTTTGTTATTTGCCTTTTAAGATTAAAAAATTTTAAATATTATTTCTTGTGTTATATCCAATAGA